CATATGTTTTAGGAAAGTGATTATTTGGTCCGATAGCACAGGAAGATGGCAGAAGTCACATGAATGGATGGGTCATGAAGCCAGTGTAAATTCTGTTGCATTTGCTCCTCATCAACTCGGGCTCATTCTCGCAAGTGCATCTGCTGACTGCTCAATAGGAATACTTGAATTCAACGCGACAAACGCTCAGTGGGTGGAGTCCAGAATCCTAAAAGCTCATGAACAGGTGCTTGACGCATGTTTTCCTTCTTGACATATTATGGTCTTTTTGCTTTGCAGGGTGTAAACGCAGTTTCATGGTGTCCTGTTCAAAGAACGATTGGTGATGGTGGTGATCAGCCTCTTAGAAAAAGGATCGCTTCATGTGGAAATGACAAACTCGTCAAAATCTGGGTGTTGGTATCCTTTCATTTTTCGCCTCTTGCTCACTCGGATGAATTGGAATGCTTACAGTGTTGATGAGAAGGGAGAGTGGACAGTAGAAAAAAACTTGGCTGGTCATTCCGACTATGTGCGAGATGTTGCTTGGTGTCCCGTTATCAGTCATTCGATGTTTACAATAGCGAGCTGTGGGATGGTAGTCGGAGGCTTCATACCATCATCCCATCCCTTAATACATTATTTCTTCAGGACCAAAGTGTAATATTGTGGAGATGCAATGAAAATAGTGAGTGGACTGCAAAGCTTCTAGAAAAGGTTAGCAGTTTATCACTTATGAGATGTAAAAGGGAAACACTGTTTGTCCCTAATTACTTTTTCCCCTCCGAAATCGTCTGAATTTGTTTTCGTGAAATTTTCGAGATTTGCGGCGAATTAAGAAGCTGAAGTTCCAGAATTTGCAGTGTTCAGGCAAATTCTCAAAAGAATTTCATTCTTTGTAGATTTATATGCTAAGCTGAGTGCCGTTATTGTAAGAAAAAAGTTTCTATGCTAAGCTGAGTGCTATGTAAGAAAAAAGTTTCAGTATTGACGAGGGAGTTTAGCACGAAGATTTTGGGCTTGCGTTGCTCGGACTCAAATCATAGCTTTGCACTACAACAGAATTGTTGGAAAACATTATGGACGCCGAGAATGAAGTTTATCATGCTAATCCATAAGGACGAAGTCCAAACTCACTCACTTTCCAGTTCTGTACTGCTTTAGTCTTTCATAAACTCAGGTAAATAACCACAAAGATGCTACCCTTTATCAAAAACAGATCACTACAAAAGATACAAGGTCATGCAAAAAGCTGACTTGATGGGAAACAGAACTTTTACGGTTTTTTTTAAATAGGCTTTCTTTCTTTGTGAGCATTGCGAAGCATGTTAGCTTGTTTTCTGGGATTGACTCAGCTTTAAGGCTGAAGGGGCTTTATGGCATGTGAGCTGGTCGATGTGCGGAACAATATTATCAGTCAGTGGAGAGGATAACAAGGCAAGTGATTGGTATTTTACATAGCATTTTTTGAACGTGATTTTCCAGATTACGTTGTGGAAGGAAAACATTCAAGGACAGTGGCAAAAAATAGACGATAACAGTAAAGCTTGATTGTGCAAGCCTATTTGTTGTGATAACTGTCATAATTTAACTCTGCTTTCTAATAATTATCGTTGTTGAGAATTATGATCAATGTTTTGGAAGGAAATTTGGGGGAAAAATTTATTGCTACTCTTTGCGTAGTTCTAACCCGTAAACATCACAAATGATTTCGGTTTCGATTTTTCTGAGTCTTTGCTCGGTCATCGATTTATGAAGAACTTCGAACCAATCATGGCTGTGAGGTACATCGACATCAATTCCTTTCAGAACTAGAGAAATTACTGCTATCGCAAGAGATGTTGAAGAGTGGGACAGCACCAGATCAGGTTCTGTATAGCAATCTCGCAACATCGCATTGCAAGAGTCAGCGATAGGATATTTTGCAAATTCTTCTGGCATCCACGATCTTAATATATCAAGGTAGATCGCAAGTAACTGAAAAAATGAATTTAAACATTCAGTCTTTTGACATGTGAATAAGTTCATTTACATCAAAGGGATGTCCAAATGTAAGATCGAAGTTGAGCTCGCGAAGAATTACAAATGTGAGCTCAGATACTCCTTTCCTCACTTCGTACATGTAGTCGTCTAACTTTGCTGGATCCCCTTCTGGATGCAGTATACTCAAATAGAGG